GAAATTTATAACCGGATTGAAAAAGCTTTGGTTTCTTTCTAATTGAAACTCGAACATTTTTTTAAGAGAAAATGAACGGACTGTGTCAAAAACATTCATAACCTATATTTTTTATTAGCTGACTCTTTCTCTCATTTAACCATTACATATTTAGGAAATTCCGATACTAAACCAAGTCAATTTTAAATATATCGGATATTTTCTTCAACTTATTAAGCTATGCAATCAACAAATCGCTTACATCGATTGCCCTCCAATATTTATAATTACCAGTTATCATCAGATCGGTCAAATTATATTTCCAAATTCGAAGTCATCACTATTACATTTATAAACCAGTAGAAACTGATAAAGTAAGAAAAAATATAAAATTAACCCAAATACCCCCTATAAATGCAGTAGTAGTACTCAATGTAGTATTTTATGTAATACACAAATTGTTGAATCCGAATGTGAGACCGGAAAAGTGATTGGATGATATACAAACCTGAGTTTATAACCGAAGAAAGTAAGAATGATGATGATAAACGTAGAAGTAATAGAAATAAATGAAGCAGACAATGAAGAAGTAGAATACGAAAGAAATGTATGAAATCCTGTCTCTTCTGGTGATAGTATTAAGGAGGAAAGTGATGAGAACATTTAATCAGATGTGTGCAAAAAATAACTCCTAATTCATAATCACACAAAAGGAACCAAACAAGCTTAATCCGGAAACTGTTATATATACAAGGGATTAAAAGTCATTCGAAAATAGTGACACATTTCAAACGTTTCACACATAAATTGTGGCGATTACAAACATTCATGGACAAAGTAAAACATACCTACTTTACTTTGTCCAACAAATCAGTTTATTGAAAACTATTTCCGAAGGGATTAAAAATATTTTAATGCGCGATTTGTAGTGAATTGTGAAGATTTTTATGAAATTCCAATTCCTTGAAAATGGGTCAACTTGCTTTCGACATGGATTACTTTGTAGGTGAGTTGCTTCGGGAAGTTTTTATGGCTAGGGTTGGGTTGGCTTGAAGATGACTTAGCTTGCTTTGTGACGGGCATGGATTCCGAAAGCAACCTAACCTAATCACACGTCAAGTTTAAATTACAGTGGGGGTCTTTGATTGACCTTAGAGTTGGTATTCTGTGAATAAGTTACTTTGGGATTAGATTGGCTTGCTTAGACGTTTGAGTTACTTTGGAGTTTGAATGCATTGGTTTGGAGTTGTGGTGCTATGGGATTGGGTTGCTTTGGTGGTTGGATTAGTTAGCTTTAGAGATGGCTATGTTGTAATTATGTTACTTTAAGATTGAGTTGATTTGGGGTTTGTTTCAAATTTCAAATTCTTTGAACTTGGGTCGACTTGGTTTGGATTGGAATCACATTGTAACCGAGTTGCTTTGGGATTGACTTATATTTTGGTTACGTTGCTTTAGATTACTTTAGGGTTGGATAGCGTTGCTTTAGAGGCACGGGCAAGGCTGAAGGACGAAGAGTATAATGCCAAAATTAACACCGTAGATAACACAGCAATGTGGAGAAATAAACTATTCTCTGAGCCAATTCATAAGTGAATATGGCTGTTTTAAAACACACCTCTATCAATACAAGGCGAGAAAGAAAGAAAAAGAAAACCAATGATAAGATGTGTATGTACTGCGTTGACAAAGTCGATGGTGTAGCAGATACCTTGAATGTCAGCAGTGCAGGAAGGTAAGAGCGGAGATAAACCAAAAATTGTAAAGAACACTAATACCGGAAAATTGCATAGTTGCTATGATTGAGAGCGAAGACAAGTGGAGGAACATCGAAAGATTCGCAAGCGATAATAAGATCATAAAGACGAAGGAAGCAAATGAAAAATATGGCAAGTCAGGTTTGTAGCAGTATAATATATTGATTATTATTTATTGATTTTTTGCATGAAGTGAAACGGAAGATGGAAGAAGTAGGAAAGAAGTTTGTTTTGCAACTTACGAGGAGAATATAGATCGCAAGCTGTCAGGAAAAAGAGTCACCATGTAAAATGGAAATACCTCGATGGAATTGGTTTAGTGGGTAACGCATATGATTCTCACACGGCCGGCTGAAGTATGATGGTTCCCACCCAACAACTTAGGCGCCAACAGTAACCTATTATGTACTCCATTATAGCATTTTCCCCTCCTCTGCACAAAAAAAAAGTTGCTTTAAAGTTGAGATGGTTTGAAGTTAGCTGGTTTGCTCTTTAATAGAACTGAGTTTCTAAACTAATCCAATCACGTGTTAAATTATTATTACAATAGATTCAAGCCAACTGTACCAATTATTATTTAAAGTTTAAGATAACGTTGCTGCTTTCCAGTTGGATAAACTGGCCATGGCGTTGAGTTATTCTGTGCATGAGTTACTTCAAGTGTGGATTAAGTTGCTTTGAGAATAGGTTACTTTGTAGTTGTGTTGCGTTAGTATTGAATTGTTTTCAAGATCAATTGGATGATCAACCTTTGGAGTTGGCTTATGTTGCTCTGGAGTCGGATTAGCTGGCTTTGAAGATTACTGAGTTTGTTTAGAGTGGAGCTGTTTTGAGGTTTGTCTCGTCAGCTTTAGAGTTAAATTACTGTGCTTAAGTGGCTTTGGAGTTTGGTAGTATTGTTTCAAGAAGCGGTTAGTCTGCAATTGTGTTGTTTTAGGATTGCATACCTTTGGCATTTAACCAATTTACTTGGGTTACTTTATATTTGAATTGCAATCTTCAAATAAAAACATTGAGCGATTCGCTTAGAAACATGTTTATGGCCAAATATATTAAGAGAAAACTTTTGTTCTTAGTATTAGGATAGCATAGCAGAATAGGATAGGATATTGTACTTTTATCTGGTGTTGAAATGTTATGTTAACTGCTCCTATTCCATTGCGATTTTGAATAGTCTATTCAATCTCATAAAAACGGCTGCATATCTATTCCTTCGCTTGACCGTATTCAACATTCTGTTTCGAAAGAAACCAAACGATGCAGTATTCTGACGTGGTCAAACTGATACACAAATTATCAAAAAATCTTCATCTGAGAAGATATCTTGATTTAATTTACATATTTTATTAACATTGTTACCCTGAATTTATGTTGTTCTCTAGTCCTGTAGTTATAAAAGACAACTATGTCTGGTATGTCATTTTGTAGCAACATAGACGTGGCATCCTGTTTAGCAATTTATAACTGCATAGTTATAAAGCAGATAAAACTGCTTTTCTATGATCCAATAAGAAGAATTTGCGCAGCCAAAACTAGATACCTAAACACAAAAAGAGGCATAATTTTATCGCTCAAACAGCAACAGCAATAATTAACAGTATGCTTCTTTAGTCCCAAGTTAATTTCCAAATTTATTTGCTTTAACAACTTGGTTTTTGGACTACCAACCGAACTCTTACCAATATTGTTCTTTTCAGTATCCCTTAGAGATCGCAAATAGATAGCATACATCTGGTAGGTAGTTAAAAAGGCAGAAAGTGCTGGCTCTTTCAAAACACGACTTCCGTTCTTCACAATTGCGTAAAATAACAACGCAAGAGGTAAGTTACACACCCTTCCGTTATGCATTTTAATGGTTGTTGCTGCACTCAAGAGAAGAATTACTAACCAATACCGAGTAATAATATAGCACGTTCTCTTCTAATATTACCCCTCTTATTTCAATTTGCTTGCTTCAATTTGCATTAGGTAATAGGAAATTACAATAAATTTTGCATCGATAACTGCTTGCTATTATTGGAATCGCTGACTGTTCAAAACAGATTTTTGCTTTAATCAATACTTTATTAATGTCCAAGATCTATCTAAAACTTGTAGTACAACAATGTGTTGTTAAGTATATCTCGTTAAAGGGCGTATATGGTATGGTGATTTCTGTAGCATTTCACTTTGGTGTACATTAAATCTAGTATTGCAAACACTATAGATTGTTTTGGCATAAAAGCCAATAAATGCCAACTATGTTGTTTAGCTGAACTTGCTTTCTTCTCAAATATGTCACACTTTGTTGGCAGTTAATACAAATTATGATTAAAATCACAAGTGCCTTAATTTTTACACAAAATTAATCGCAAATCAATTTAGATTTATTAAAAATAAAAAACACCATTCCAAAAATTTAAACAAAAGCATTCCTAACAAGACTATCATTAATCCAATTTATTTGACATTCGTTTAACTTGAGTTCGTCCCGTATTGGCAAAAAAAATCTGATCAACTTAAATAAAGATATCATTTAGGATGAAATTTCTTAAAAAATGTTAATAAAATAGTATTCAAAACGTAAAATCTGAATCTAAATTATTTTAAACAAAACCTCAGCATATATCCATAACGCTCAAAATAGGTTGAGTGGCGCCATCTCATAGAGAGTATTCCAAGATTAAAGTGAAAGCTTGAAAGGAATTTATAGATAACTATATCTGTTTTATATCACAATAAAAAAACTTATTTAAATATTTAAAATTGTATCTTACAGATAAGAGCAAACGTTTTTTTTTATTAAATATGTTTATCTTAATTTTAACATACATATTTAAAGAGTTCAATATATTCAAACACGAAATTTGATAAAAAAGTAAATTTTTTTAACTAAAATTATTGTTAATTTAAAGTCTTTAAATGTTTATGTTAAATTAAGATCTTAATCAAGTTTTGAATAAAAACTAACAACATCAAATGTAAGTTGTAATAGTAGGGTACTAAAAAACCACTTGTTGATTTAGTACCTAACCTATAACTCACGCCTCCACTTTTCACATCGAAGAATATAAACAAAAACATTAGCTGTGTTAAAATAAAATAATAAACGGCAACGAAATGGCATAAAATAACGTTAACGTAAAAGTAAGCGGCACGGGAATGGTCAAAAACGACGAGCGGGACACGAAGACGCCAGGCGTCTTGTGACCCCTACTATGTTTACGTCATAAACAAAAGTGGGCACACCGAAGTAAAAGCAAAATAAAAAGCGAAAAATCTCACCTAGCAAACTCAAGGCAAGCACAAAACGGACATGCACCAAACGTTCTAATCAAAAACTGAACACAAAACGTGAAAAACTGTTAAAATCGCGTTAAAACAAGTGTGTTTCGGAGACGACGACCAAAGGCTGTCGCCGTATAGGAATGCATGCAAACAGGTGGAGGAGAGACGCGTCGTGGCGGCGGCGAACGTCGAAAGTAGCGGCGCTATCGTCGCGGCGCCAGCCGGTCCCTGAACCTGTTCAAATCGACGCCTCAATCCCCGATGCAAGTCCTACCTTAAAATTGATCATTTTCCACCTGCGAAGAGGTTAGATGGCTGCCCGCGGTCGTTGTTTACAGTTTCAAAGTGCGAGCACGTGTTGTTTGACAGTTTGAATGAGCCGAATGTGGAATTTCTAAACCGACGGCGGTGGAGAATTTTTGAACTATAGGCGACGGCGATTACAGAAACCTTTTTTAATGATAATATATCTTTATTCATTATTTCTATTATTTTGTTGTTATCAAACAAGAGAGTAATATAAAAAGTATTAACTCATATCATTAAGAATATTTAATAAATTATGGTATTATTAAATATCATCCGTAAAGGTTTCATGTAAATTTGGTTGCCTATATGAAACTTTGTTTTGATGTCATTCCTTTATTTTGGGTTAATCATAAGTCAGGTCCTTGCCATACTATTCACTTCGTTCTCTCTTGCGCACTATCTCCTCGATTCCATTCTTGGAATGCCTCTCCTTCGTTTTCCAACTATTCCCATTTCCATTACTCTTCTTGAAATTTTTTGGTTTGTTTATCTCTCATCGGACATGTTTTAGCTCCATATGTAAGGGTCGGTGTATATATAATTTTATAAACTCTTAATTTTGTATTTGTTCTGACTTCCTTCTTGCCCACAATTGTGTTATTGATTTGGATATATACATTACTTGCTTTTTGCATTCTATTTGGATTTGTCTGTCTATTGTTGCATTCTCAGTAATAATGGTGCCCAATTATTCAAATTTATCCACAATTTCCAGTCTTTCCCCACTTATTATTATATTTATGTTTTTATCCTTTTCCCCTTTATTTCATGCATATGAAACAGAATTGTCAATATACAAAATTGTCAAAAATGTATTTCCAAGAAACCAGGGCGTACCTACTTACTTTGTCCTACATAAAATGCAACATGTCAATATGCAGATAGTCACAAAAGTCTACATACACTAAGTAAATCGCTCCAGTTAAATAATACGTCATATTATTGAACATTTCGTTTTAAAAATATTTGTTACTATCTGAATGTAGACAATTTTGAAACATCATAACTATTTTACAATAATACAATCTTAGGAAAAAAATTAAACTAAAATTAACAGCTCACAAAAGTCTACAAACACATGTATAAAACTTGAAATTATTGACTGAGAGAACTATCTGGAGATTCTCTGTTACACTGACTGGTATTTCAGTCCAAGCTTTGTCTAGCGCATCTTTTAAAGCTTATTTTTAACATTGTATTTACGGACCCTTCGTTTTACCTCATCCCAAATGTGCTCAATAAAGCTGAGATCGGGCGATTGGGGTAGCGAATGCTTAGGTCGTTGTTTTGTTGAAAGATCCACCGATTTCCAAGCCCTAAGCGCTTTGCTGATGTTTTCATATTGCCTTGCAATATTTCCAAATGCCGTCTATGGTCCATGATACCATCAATAAAAATCAAATTTCCTAGCCCACAAGCCGCCATCGAGCGCCATTACCGACCCTCCACCATGTTTAACGGTTGGGAGCAAATTTTTTGCTTCCATTTGTTGGTTTGCCTCCCGCCAAATTTTTCGTCTACCATCCAATCCGAAAATATTATACTTACTTTCGTCAGTAAACAGAACTGTTTTCCAGAATTTAAAGTCACTTGCAAGATATCTTTTAGCAAATTCAATCCTTTTCTGCCTGTTTTGTTGAGAAATCAAAGATTTTCTTCATGGAACTCATCCATTAAATCTTAACACTCTACGTACAGTTTCTGGATGGACGACTTTATGGGTAGCTTGTTGAATTTCTTCTGCCAGTTAAGGAGCACTTGTTCTAAGATTTTCTTACACCTGTTTTAAAATTGTCTGGAGATCACGTTGATTTAAAACTGTTGGACAACCAATGTGTGATTTATTTAATACACTTCCATTTAAATTATAATTTTTTATAATTGTTTGGATTGTTGCTCGACTTTTGTCAACAGTTTTAGCTATTTCACCATATGATTTTCCCCCATTTCTTAACCTTCCGCATACTAGGTGAATTAATCTCACATGTACATACTAGGTGGAGTTTGATATACCCCGCAAATAAAATACTATTTCTACAAAATTTTACATAGAACATGATCTCGCGCGTCTTTTTTGTTTTCAACTTCAACTGATATTTCGTTTCTTTCCATATTATTTTAAATTATATAATATTCACTAGTAAGTTAACTAGTGAATATTACTGACACTGAAATTATCACTGTGAACATCTCACAATTATTACTGTGAACTTTTTAAACATAAAATAACATAAATATGAACTAGAAATGTCTGTGTAAGCTCTTTTGTATCAAATGCGTAACTGTATGTTGACTTTTGTGAGGTTTATCTGTCAGTAGTCAATATTTTGCTCCGTCTATGGAGCACTTGATTTAGTACTATTTTATGTGGTATGCTCGTCAATAAACACAAGTAGTTTTAAATGTAACACAAAGATGAGTTTAATGGTCTTTATTGCGATATCTATTTATATAGATATTATTGCTATTTTAGGTGCTGTATATAGACTTTTGTGACTAACTGTAATTTGACATTACAGTAAAACTTCGATATAACGGATCAATACTAGGAACGCAGAGTCCGTTATAGCTCAATAAAAATATACAACAATCTAGCGCTGAATAACAACTAAAACTAGACTAACACTAGCAGGAGCTTTAGTTAGCATAAAATATCACTATGTTGCATATTTTTATTGAACTAAAACTAGAGCTAGCACAAGACCTAGAACTAGAATCATTCGGGTTTAGCCGTTTTGAAGCCGTTGGTGTAGAAATACAAGCTTATGCTGATGACATTGTCGTTATGGTCAAAGGAACCTGTTTGTCAAGGATATCTAAAGTCCTTCAGGTGACCCTAGATACCATTTGCGCTTGGTGTAAGGGAGAGAACCTCTCGACAAACCCGTGACTAATCCGTACAACTATCCAAGATGAAGAAATTCCTTTCGCAGAGGAAGTCAACTATCTAGGAGTAATCCTAGACAAAACCCTGTCATGGAATGGACATTTGCAAGGTGTTTTGCACAAATATCCTTGTGGACTTGTCGCAGTCTTTGTAGAAAAAATTGGGGTCTTATCCCTGAAAAACTATACTAGCTCTATGTGACTGTGGTTAGACCTATGATCCTCGTATGTAGAGCAGCAGCCTGGTATAGGAAAGTCCGACAGACTTCAGTTATTACTAAACTTGCACAAATTCAACGGGTAGCTGGATTGACAATCTCTGGTGCGATAAGCTCAACGCCAACTCTAGCAATGGAAGTTCTGCTTGGCCTATCTCCTCTGTATTTGCATATAGAGAAAGTGGCTAGAACAACCATTTACAGATTTAAGCAATATGCTCAAAACTGTTCCGACATGTCCTAACAATGGGCTGCGGAAGACATTGTAAGTGCTGATACTGCGCTATCAATGCCGTCAGATTTGGCGGGATCACTATCAGTGATTAATGCTCGATACCAGATTGTACTGCCTGAACGGCAGTCCTGGATCAAACAAATTGACATGAGTGCTAAAATGCTTCTTGAAAGAGGGGTGAAGAACATGACAGTACGACTTTTCTCAGACAATCGAGCCGCTCTCCAGGCGCTGCAAGCCGTGAAAACGGTGTCGGCTCTGGTTAATGATTGTAAGAGAACATTAAACACACTGAGTTGTGATAACAGAGTTTCTGTGATCTGAGTTGGGTTGGGTTGGGTGAATCGGCAGATGAGCAAGGACGAGAGGGCAGCACTAAAGCGTTTGTGGGACCGGAACCAGCAGTTGGTGTATGATTTGCGATGACCAAATATAGGATTGGACTGTGGGTTGAAGAGAGACTTCGCCTACTGTGAACCAGTTCTCCTGGAATGAGACATGCTAAGGTCTTTATTAAAATCGCTACTGTCAAACCCGGGAATATTGTAAGACTTGCTCGTAGCAGCACAAAAGTTCTAATGGGTGTCTTTACTGGGCACTGCCTATTAAAAGCACACCTCAATGTGTTGAGTTTAGCCGACGATGTTGAATGCCGATTATGTGTGGAGGAAGCAGAGACGTTGGGTTGAGCATGTTTTATGCCACTGCCAATGTTCGTTAAGAGCATTGGACTGCACGGTGAAATTTGATAATGATATCTATCGGGGCACAATAGATTCTTACGGTCGCGGTGCAAGGTTGATTGATCCGCCTACCCGATACGTAGTCTATGTAATGTAATGTAATCACTAGAACTAACACAAGGCCTAGAAGTAGAATCATTCGGGTTTAGCCGTCTTGAGAGACGTGCGGCTAAATCCGAATGTTTCTAGTTTTAGGTCTAGTGTTAGTTCTAGTTTTACACTAGCACTATCACTAGAACTAACACAAGACCTAGAACTACAATCATTCGGGTTTAGCCGCACATCTCTCTAGACGGCTAAACTCGAATGATCTATATTATATACCATTTCAAGTTCAAATTGGCACTAATCAAACTTAAAATGACATTAAGGTGGGTTTAGACATGCATGGATTTGGTGGCGCCAGTTCAATTTGCACGCCAGTAAAGGTTTACACTACATGTGCGAAAAGAAAAATAAGTGACACGCCAGTTCTGCGGACCACTTTGTTTAGTCATAATAAACTATATAAACTATAACTATATACACAAATTAGGACCTCAACGGAAACGAAAATAGATATATTCTAGGTTTAATGTGGATAATTAAACGTTATCGTTAAATGTGTTGACGTAATTGGGATTTAATTTGAATGCAATGAAATATAACCTAAATTCGACATTAAAAAATTATGTGTTTTTGTGGATACTCATCTATGCCAGTTTCAGAAGGGTGCAGACTTTTCCGATCCATGCATGCATGATTTCAACTTACATGACAGTTCATGTTTACACATGCA